GAACTGCTTGCCGCCACGAATGGACCCCTGTAACCCCCAGCCATCCACAAGAGTGGGCTGGAACTGCCTGAAACAGAGCACATTGCACTACAGCCTGGAATCATAGGTGCAGAATGATGATCTCACGACCAGGGCAGAGCCAGCTGGTTGCTCACCTCCAGTCAGATACACTGTTCTGTCCAGAGAAAGTTGTTTTCTAAAGCTTATTTTTTTAGTTTTCACAACAACACCGCAGCTGCAGAATTATGAACTGAACTGAGAGCTGTGATAATGATGAATTCTTTTTTCTTTTTAGACTTGGGAACAATGTCCAAAAAATAAGAGACTTTACTTCCTTATTTTTTCTTTGGAGGATGCACTAAACATTTCAAGTTCCTTTTTAAGTGATTGTGCGTGTCCCACAGGGTGCGTTCAAGGCCGGGGGCCTCACACATGAAATGGAAGAAAAACAGAGCGCCATTTTTTTCCACATCATCTCCTCGCCCGTTTTTAATGAGGTACTACGAATTGGGACAGACCACTGGTCATGTGTTCAGAGTCCTCGACTCTGATGGGACAAACTGATGAGACTGACCACTTATGAATGTGTGGCATAAGTAGTAATGTGCCGCCACTCCTCGTCTGCTGTATTGACTCATTTAAAAGTTGGCCAACTTGGAGGCGGGAGGGGAAGTTACTGGTTGCGTGCAGTCGAGGGGGATTCCACGACAAAGGGGTGCTCTCTCCTCTTGCTGTGTAAACTTGTCATTTATTTCAGAATTTCGCAGAATTCCTTTTTCATTTTACGGATGCTTTTTGAAATCGGATTTTGAGAGGATGGATTTTCGTTGTCGTTTCTGTTTTTTTTTAGTCAGGCTTTTGTGATGGGAACCAAAGAACTGGACCACGCTAGCAAGGGAAGCCAGTTCTGTCTCATTGTGGAATGTCCTCTTATGCCTCTTTTGTGGAGCATCCCAAGTTTCTGTCCATTTCGTCATTCTTTTTCCTAATTCGTTCTCGTTTTCACGCTCTCCACGCTAGTATTGGTTTAGATCTAGTGAATCTCAGTATAGAGCTCTCTTGTGTTGTTACGGTCGTTCCCTTTCCTCACAAAGTTGTTGTACAGAGATGCATGATGGGATGTTTCTCACTGTGGACCAGTCCCAGCAGGACGGTTGGGACTCTATTGGTTTCTCTTGGTTTCGTTTTTGTTTAACTATGATTTGACCTATGAATTATGTGACAACATCCGGAAAACAGTTTGGAATTCGCTCAGGTTGATCCCTGACAGGAATATGCCAATGACTGAATGTGTCTGACCTGTCATTGGTGACTGCCCAATCCGTGAGTCAAGGAACAGGCGGGACTTGCAGCACAGATTTGGGTGTGCCACACTGGACCGAGAGGGTGCAGGATACAGCAGGCAGAGCTGAGGATGCTGCGAGTTCAATAATGTACTTTTTCCCTCTTCTTTTTTGTTTTAGTCAACTGATACTTGGTGGACATGGTGCCAAGCCCGTATCCCTCTCCGACTCTCACACACACACATACACATTAATACACCTTTTACAGGCCGATCTCATATCATGTACCCAGTTTCCAGTGGAACGCACTCCAGACACATACATACATATGCACTCATACATGAAATCCTCCTTCACCATCCCAGTACGTTTTAATTGGAGTAATGGCTGCTGAAAATTCAGTTTTGCTAACACTGGAATAAATTACCTTTTCTTTTTAAACGCTAATATATATATATTTCCCATTAAAATGTATTTTATTCTACCAAAACTAAAAAGCCCTGTCCTCATTTGCAGGCTTTGTGCATTGGCAGTATCATGTGAAAAAAGTTTGCTTTGGCTCTAGATCTGAAATCTGTAATTTCATTCTTTTTCAGCATTAAATACACCATATATATACTATAATATTTTCAGAGGTTACTATTAAGGTACTAAATGTAAATAAATAGTGTAAGGTGAACGTTTCCAGCATATGGCTTGCAGCACATGAAATGTGCTCTACAGCTAAACATTTGGTACCTACAAGCAGTGAATGTAATAAATGCTTTTCATAAATAATATTAGCTGCTCTGTGACTACTAAAAACTAAAGTGGTACAGATTACCAGTGGCTTCAAAGAGGGTATACAGATATGAGATAAGAGTTTAAAAACAAAAACGCTGAAATGCTAGTTGCCAACAAGATAGTAACACTCATTGGCGTCGCTAAGCCATTTTTAGGGGGGCTATAGACAGATATATTGCATACTTGAGCTAAGGAAAGAGGGTTATACTAGAGATGCAAACAGTAAAATTTTGTGTTTGTACAGTAAATAGGTTGTGTGTGTGTGAGATCATGAAGACTTGAATTTGGCTTATTCAGTAGGCCAGTGTTTCTCAACCAGGGGTCCGTGGACATAACATGTCATGTTCCCATGAAAGAAAAATCCAATATAGCTGATGATATGGCCAAATACTGGACAAGTCGGCTAACTTGAATTATACTTGACTGTATTTGGTCCTCACAAAGACACAAATGATACATAGATGAGTCAATTTTGTTCTGGGGGTCCTTGAGGATGGTTCTGAATTGGACTGGGGTCCGGTACGCCAAAAGGTTGAGATTCACTGCAGTAGGCTACTCAAATGTTATACCTATCTATGCAATACAGTGGAATACTGCAATAAGTCTAGTATACGACCCCTATTAATCAAAATTTTTTATTTTATATATATATATATATTTATTATTATTATTATTATTATTAGGCTATTATTATTATTATACCCTCACTGGGGCCTGAGCCCCCCTAAAATGAAAATCCTAGAATCACCCCTGGTAATACTGCAGACAAAAGTCATGCAAAACATGGAAATTTCCAGGCCTGAAGAAGTTACAGATTAATCCCAATTAACTCCTAAAATAGAAATTTCCATATGAATTTTTGTTAATATTATAATTGGCTAATAATTGCCTTGTGTAAGTGTAAGCTCTAAAATTTTTCAAAATGTTCTCATTTAATGTTCTTTTTTAAATTTTTTTATCCTTAACCAGTAATTATGAGTGATTAAAAGATTCACAGAAGTTCATTGGGTAAAGAGGTGTGGGAATGTGCAGAGATTCAGTCAGAAACTGCTTTGACCGGACAAACCTCGCACAATAAGGTACTGAAAGCAAAAGAGTTGAGATAAGCAGTGTTTTTGTGGTGGTGGTAACAGATGTTGACTGGTGTTTACAGGCAGCTTGGCTGACACGAGAGTTAGAAACGGGGGTAGAGGAGAGCAGCTTCATAGTCTGGTGGGGGAGAGCAGCACCTCTGAGAGTAACACACAGGAGGAACCTCCCTCTGATGACAACAGGGGGCGCTATTCATACAAGGCAGCACTTTTGCAGGCAGCTTCATGTGCTGGTTTTGACCTTTGGAGAAGAACCTGCAACACAAAAGGCAGTGACCTCATTTTATGTAACTAATTACATACATGTAACTTAATGCTCATTTTTCACACGTTCATTTTAACATACACTCTATTGCCAAAAGTATTGGGACACCCCCTTCTAATGAACAGGTTTGACTACTTTAGTAATTTACAAATCTTGTAATGTTTAAACATATAATGATATTCTAGGGAATTGTGTGCTTCTAATATAATAGCAACAGTTTGGACAGGACCCTTTTCTATTCTAACTTCGAAATGATTGGTTCAGTCAGTGTGGAAGAACTTGACTGGTCTGCAGAAAGCCAAGTCCTGATCCCAGCTGAACACCTCTGGTGTGACTTTGCAGACCTTGAGCCAAAAACTCATCACCAAACACCAATGATCCTTTTAGACGCTTCCAAAACTGTTGCAACAGAGATGGAAATACAATTTTTAAATTATGTTTCCATCTTTGTTGCCACAGTTTTGGAAGTGCCTTTTTTCTGTTCTAAAGAAGGGGGTGTCCCAATACTTTTGTCCATATAGTGTACACTTCAATTTCAAATTTTGGGGTTGGTAAGATTTTTTTAATGTTTAGGAAAGTTAGGTGCTCACCAAGGCTGCATTTATCAAAAATACAATGAAACGGTAATATTTTGAAATATTGCAATGTAAAATAATGTATACTTTAAAAATGTAATTCCTGCGATGGCAAAGCTGAAACAGAAGTTTCAACTAGAAGCTGAAATAGTTCAAAACAACAGCATTTATTTAAAACAGTAATCTTATAAATGTTTCTACTATCACTTTTGATCAATTTAAAGCATCGTTGCTGAATAAAAGGACTCTATAAAAAGTCCTTAAAATAAAAGATCTTACTGACCCCAAACTTTTTAATGGTTATGTAACAGATCATCGAAGCCACTGTCATGACACCTACTTAGTGATGTTTTTGGCAATATCCATCCACTTCACCCGAATCAACTCTTCAAACGGGAGAACCATTCCACTGTCAGACTGGTTGTCCTAAAGTAAGATAAAAAACAAAAAAAACAAAACAGTCAATCTCGACAACTTCACCCAAGTGAAATTCAAGTATATTTTTAGAACACTTACATCAGGGATTTCTTTGTGTAGATCCTCAAAAGTGCTGATGGCTTTGATTTTCCCAGAGCTGATGTAGCTAAAATACATTTAAATATTTATCTTAATTTCCTTTAATAATTAATTTGAAAATTGTAATTTATTATTTATTTTAATGAAACAAGTGTGTTTTTTGAACACACTTTGTATGTATTTTGAATTGTACATATTGTATTTCACATGTAATTATTATTCATATTCAGTTAATATGTTCACATATGATCACATTTGTACCTTGAAGTTCCCAGTGTTTTCTGGCTTATGTCTTTCTGGTCGATGTGCGCCGTGACGGTATTTCCTTCTCCAGAAATAAAAGCGTTCAGTGGAATATAATCTTTTCCATCCTGTTTTTAAAAAAGTGTGTGTAAAAAAAAAAGTTCTGACCAGTCAAATACAAACAAACACAAAATTTTTCAAAATGTTCTCATTTAATGTTCTTTTTTAAATTTTTTTATCCTTAACCAGTAATTATGAGTGATTAAAAGATTCACAGAAGTTCATTGGGTAAAGAGGTGTGGGAATGTGCAGAGATTCAGTCAGAAACTGCTTTGACCGGACAAACCTCGCACAATAAGGTACTGAAAGCAAAAGAGTTGAGATAAGCAGTGTTTTTGTGGTGGTGGTAACAGATGTTGACTGGTGTTTACAGGCAGCTTGGCTGACACGAGAGTTAGAAACGGGGGTAGAGGAGAGCAGCTTCATAGTCTGGTGGGGGAGAGCAGCACCTCTGAGAGTAACACACAGGAGGAACCTCCCTCTGATGACAACAGGGGGCGCTATTCATACAAGGCAGCACTTTTGCAGGCAGCTTCATGTGCTGGTTTTGACCTTTGGAGAAGAACCTGCAACACAAAAGGCAGTGACCTCATTTTATGTAACTAATTACATACATGTAACTTAATGCTCATTTTTCACACGTTCATTTTAACATACACTCTATTGCCAAAAGTATTGGGACACCCCCTTCTAATGAACAGGTTTGACTACTTTAGTAATTTACAAATCTTGTAATGTTTAAACATATAATGATATTCTAGGGAATTGTGTGCTTCTAATATAATAGCAACAGTTTGGACAGGACCCTTTTCTATTCTAACTTCGAAATGATTGGTTCAGTCAGTGTGGAAGAACTTGACTGGTCTGCAGAAAGCCAAGTCCTGATCCCAGCTGAACACCTCTGGTGTGACTTTGCAGACCTTGAGCCAAAAACTCATCACCAAACACCAATGATCCTTTTAGACGCTTCCAAAACTGTTGCAACAGAGATGGAAATACAATTTTTAAATTATGTTTCCATCTTTGTTGCCACAGTTTTGGAAGTGCCTTTTTTCTGTTCTAAAGAAGGGGGTGTCCCAATACTTTTGTCCATATAGTGTACACTTCAATTTCAAATTTTGGGGTTGGTAAGATTTTTTTAATGTTTAGGAAAGTTAGGTGCTCACCAAGGCTGCATTTATCAAAAATACAATGAAACGGTAATATTTTGAAATATTGCAATGTAAAATAATGTATACTTTAAAAATGTAATTCCTGCGATGGCAAAGCTGAAACAGAAGTTTCAACTAGAAGCTGAAATAGTTCAAAACAACAGCATTTATTTAAAACAGTAATCTTATAAATGTTTCTACTATCACTTTTGATCAATTTAAAGCATCGTTGCTGAATAAAAGGACTCTATAAAAAGTCCTTAAAATAAAAGATCTTACTGACCCCAAACTTTTTAATGGTTATGTAACAGATCATCGAAGCCACTGTCATGACACCTACTTAGTGATGTTTTTGGCAATATCCATCCACTTCACCCGAATCAACTCTTCAAACGGGAGAACCATTCCACTGTCAGACTGGTTGTCCTAAAGTAAGATAAAAAACAAAAAAAACAAAACAGTCAATCTCGACAACTTCACCCAAGTGAAATTCAAGTATATTTTTAGAACACTTACATCAGGGATTTCTTTGTGTAGATCCTCAAAAGTGCTGATGGCTTTGATTTTCCCAGAGCTGATGTAGCTAAAATACATTTAAATATTTATCTTAATTTCCTTTAATAATTAATTTGAAAATTGTAATTTATTATTTATTTTAATGAAACAAGTGTGTTTTTTGAACACACTTTGTATGTATTTTGAATTGTACATATTGTATTTCACATGTAATTATTATTCATATTCAGTTAATATGTTCACATATGATCACATTTGTACCTTGAAGTTCCCAGTGTTTTCTGGCTTATGTCTTTCTGGTCGATGTGCGCCGTGACGGTATTTCCTTCTCCAGAAATAAAAGCGTTCAGTGGAATATAATCTTTTCCATCCTGTTTTTAAAAAAGTGTGTGTAAAAAAAAAAGTTCTGACCAGTCAAATACAAACAAACACAGTAAATAATGTCCCACCTGTTGGACGCAGGTCTGCAAGAGGTCTCCCAGTATCTCCACAAGAGCAGAGAAACAAGGTCTGTTCTCAGGGTTATTTTCCCAGCATGCCATCATAATGCTGTAACTGTCAGACAGATCCCACAAGCTCAATATTAGCAATGTATTGGTTCATGGGGAAATGACTGAACGTTTAATATGATGTATTCAGGTGTGAGAACTGACATCTCCGGGGTGCTGTACTCAGGAGGACACATCCGAGTCCCCTGCTTCAGTCTGTGACAAAACTCCTCATCAATGTTCAGCCCCGGGTACGGAGACGCTCCTATGGACCACAAACACGGTTACATTTCTTGTTTCCTAATCCGCTTTCCTCACTTTCATTCTCTTGCTATGACCTGGCAGAGCAACAAATGTCAATTGTTCGATTGTGCCATATTTCAAAGGGATGATGTTATGAAAAAATCAACTGTGGCATTTGCCAAATGCTTGAATTATCTGATGTACATAAAGAGTATTGACATTACCAAGTGAGAAGATCTCCCAGAGCAGAACTCCATATGACCACACGTCACTCTGAGCGGTGAAGACTTTGTCGAAGATCGATTCAGGTGCCATCCATTTCAGTGGTAACCGTGCCTTCATGGCAACACACATTCATTACACACATTTGACCCTTTTTTTATGTTGCTGACCATAAACTTTGATATATTGATGGCATTACACTCACATCTCCCTTGCGCACATAGTCTGGGTCTTTGTACACATCTCGGGCCAAGCCAAAATCACAGATCTTCACCACATTGTTGTTGGACAGCAGGATGTTTCTGGCAGCAAGGTCACGATGAATGCACTGGAAACATGAAAAAAACAAAAAAACATTGTGATTCAACCAAGTCCATATTCATGTTCATATACTCTGATGCAGACAGGAAGGCACTTTACCTTGCGAGAAGCGAGAAACTCCATTCCTCTGGCCACCTGAAAGCTGTAAGAAATCAGGTCTTCAAGCAGCAGAGGGTTGTTGGATTCAGGAAGAGAACCTGCAGAAGACAAACAGAAAGAGAAAAGTCTCTCTTTAATGAACTGATCCAGAAATGTCTAGTGTTAATATTAAGACCAACATTATATTTGTTTTTAGGTATATTTGTTTTTACTCTCATGTCATGCCAAATTGAACTTTATTTCTTCCATGTAACACAAAAGGTGAAATTTGAAGCAATATCCTGAAGAATATTTTTGATCCATGGACATGATAGTGACTACACTAACTTTTAAAGTTTTCAACTTTCTGTAAAATGCTTTTTTAATGCTTTTGAAAAAAAGAAGTAATTTCTGCATTTGATCAAAAACAGTAATATTGTGAAATATTATTACAATTTAAAATAACTGTTTTCTATTTTAATATATTAGGAAAAGTAATTTATTCCTGTGATGTCAAAGCTGAATTTTCAGCATCATTACTCCAGTCTTCAGCGTCACATGATCCTCCAGAAATCATTCTAATATGCGGATTTGCTGCTCAAGAAACATTTCTTATTATTACCAATATTGAAAACAATTGCTCTGGCTTAATATTTTTGTAGATAGATTTGTTCAGGATTCTTTGATTAATAGAAAATTCAAACAAATAGCATTTATTTAAACATTTATTTGGAAATAATCATTTATTTAGAAATATTTTGTAATTATTTACTATCACATTTGAAACCTTGCTGAATAAAATAATTATTTCGTTCATAAATCTTACTGACCCTAAACTTTTGAACGGTAGTATAAATGATGACAATTACATTTTTTTTTGGTAAACTATCCCCTAAATGTCTTTTTGCATCAAAATAAATCATTATTGTACTGGGGAAAGATTGCCGTACTGTTCAACAAGTTTTATGGTTCATTGCACATTGATAATTCAAATGACATCATGCATGTGATGAAAGCTCACCACTGTCCTCCTCTGAGATCTCTCCTTTCTCCTCACTAAACCCTGAGCTGGCATTGCTCTGGCTGCTGGACACACTGGCCAATCGTCCTTTATATCCCTCCTTCATGCATCCCTCTTCTTCTCTGTTCTCCTGAGTCAGACACACAACATATGAAATGAGCAGCCACTCAGCTGGAACACATCTGGTGAATAATGCTCAGCACATATCAACATATCAGTGTGAGTAAAAATACAAGGACTCCATATGTATCGCATATTTTACTAGGCCCCACTGATCTTGGATCAGGACTATCACAGAAACACACTGTTCTTTGTGTGAAGTTTTTGTATTGGCCATTCAAGGAGGTAAGAAGCTTTAGAGATGGTCACACAGAGGGAAGTATGACTCTGTTGTCTTGATGAACACTGCTCTGTTTATTTCAGAAGGAAATAGGAGAAGTCTATAAACTTGACATCAGACATATGTAGAAGTCACTAAACCTCACAATACCACAGACCAACAGTTCCCTGCTTAAAATACTGTGACATTCAGAAGACTTTCTGAGTGACGTTCTGCAAAACTAATAAAAGATTGTAACTCAGACATGAAGTTGATGACTGCATATATGAACTGAAATTAAACAGTTGAAGTGAAATTTACATAGATAGATAGATAGATAGATAGATAGATAGATAGATGATAGATAGATAGATAGATGATAGATAGATAGATAGATAGATGATAGATAGATAGATAGATAGATGATAGATAGATAGATAGATAGATAGATAGATAGACTAACCCTGTTCAACAGGAACACCTCTCGTTTGCTCTTAAGGTACGCAGACAGGTTGCCAAATTTACAGTATTCAACTATGATCATCAGAGGCCCTGAAAACACCAAAACATATCAAATTAATGCATATAGAACAACACCCGTCCCTCTCTATATACCATAAATGTTATATATGTTGATTAAAAGTTTGGTCAATTCAATTTTTTTATGTTTTTGAAAGAAGTCTCTTATGCTATTTGATCAAAAATACAGTAAAACAGTAATATTGTGAATTATTATTACAATTGAAATTATGTTTTCTATTTTAATATATTATAAAACGTAATTTATTCTGTGATGCAAAGCTACATTTTCTGCATCTTTACTCCAGTCTTCAGTGTCACATGATCCTTCAGAAATCATTCTAATATGCTGAAACATTTATGCTAACATTCAGAAACATTTTTTTATTATTATCAATGAATAAAAAAAAAAAAAACAATTTCATAATACATTTTTTTAGGAAAAATGTCTGATGAATAGAAAGTTTAAAAAAAACTGCATTTATTTGATATAGAAATCTTTTCTAACATTATAAATGCCTTTACTGTCACTTCTGATCAATTTAATGCACACTCGCTGAATAAAAAGTATTCATTTCTTTTAAAAGAAAGATGCTAACCCTAAAATGGTAACCTGTTACATATACATGCACAAGCCATACACATCTTGAATCACTTTTATAGATGCCATATTACAGCAAAACCAAACTTTGAGGGGTTACAGAGAAATGGTGACATGCAGACCTCCTGGTTTGGTACATGCACCTAGAAGATTGACCACATTGAGGTGATGCCCAATATGACTGAGGATCTTCAGTTCTGTCATCAGAGCCTTGTGTTCACTGGGCATAGCGCCATCTGCAGGAACAGGACAGACATAACTCCTGACACTAATGTATATTTGCTAAATAGGCTTTTTATTACACAATAGGTATTTTTAAGATTCTTGAGCAGTTTTAATGCTTAAGAATATACCTTTAAGCATTTTGACGGCCACTGTGGTGCAGCTGGCTGAATTGCAAATGCCGAAAGCTGAGGCCTGCATTACTCGGCCAAATGCCCCTCGCCCCAGGGGCTTTTCTAGAGAACAGGACAATAAATCACATATCAGTATACTGCATAACAGCATCAATACAACTTATAAAGCACACCACAATTTACCTAGTTTAAGGCGGTCACGTGGAAACTCCCATTGGGCGGGATCATACTGTAATCTGTTGCAGTTCTCAACCAGAGGCTCCTCCCCTGGATGCAGGATGATTGGCAGGTACTCTGCTTTGCCATTAGTGGAGTTTGGCTGAGAATGACCCACATAATATAGATATATATTACATGTTACAAGAATATAAGCAGTTTTAATTGGCCTTGATTGGCTCTCACCTGTTTGAGTTTGCGAATCAGCAGTGTGAGAAGCAGCCAGAAGAGAGTGGCCACCACGCATGTACATGCTAGAGTCGGGATCTCCAGAGAAAGTGATTCAGATGAACCTTTTGGATACATAAACAAGTGTTGTTTAAAGAGAAAAAATAAGAGACTGGGACATGACCGGGATCACATTTGTCCCCATGAGCATGACAACTCCCTATAGGTCATGAGTAATGCATTAGCCTCTATAGAAACAGCTAAACAAATGAACCTACATAAAAATAGGTAAACAGTTTAAGGGTTGAAAAGCCGAGGCCATCTGTAGGAAATGAAAATGGGAGACAGTTTCCTTCCTGGCCTATCGGAAGAGAACAGCGTGAACGTCTCCTCTCAGCACTGTGTTTAGAAGCATCCGACAAGAGTAAATAAGGGAGTGTGAGAAAAAAAAAAAGGCTGGGAGGGAAAACAAAAAACCCCCCCAGCAAACTGATACCAACATAAAACTGTTAAAGGACTATTCATGCATACATTAAAAGTTTAAAACCTGGGGTCTGTAGAATTTTTTTTAATGTTTTTGAAAGGAGCCTCTAATGCACACCAAGGCTGCATTTATTTTTTTAAATATAGTAAAAATAGCATTATTGTGAATTATTAAATAACTGTTTCTATTTTAAAACTTTTACATATAATTTATTCAGTAAAGCTGAATTTTCAGCATCATTACTCCAGTCTTCAGCGTCACACGATCCTTCAGAAATCATTCTAATATGCTGATTTGGTGCTCAAGTAACATTTCTTATTGTTATCGATGTTGGACACAGTTGTGCTGCTTAATATTTTTTATGATACTTATTTTTTCAGAATTTTTTGATGATCAGAAAGTCCAAAGGAACAGAATTTATTTGAAACAGAATGACACTTTTGATCTAATTTGATGTGTTGCTGCAGAATAAACCACCCCCCACCACACTC